TTTTTTTCTTTTTCGTTTTTCCATGATTAAAAAAATCTACAAGAGTAGTTTTTCTGACTGGTGTCCCAAAGATCATTAAGTCATTCATGATTACTTCGATGTACACCAGATTGAATCAATAATCCAATAAAAGATTCTATTATTTTGAGCTTCTTCGTGACTAAAAGTCCGAGCTACTCTCGACTGCATTAGATCTTGATTAGCTGGAAATTAAAATTTCAGTACTTAGTTTGAGAAAATTGAAATAATCAAGTTTCCTTTCTATTATTCCGTTTAGCAAACCTACCAGCAGCTTGTTCGTCTTACACAAACATTTCAGATCCAACAAGAAGTGTCAGATACTCGGGCTCCTCCGGATGCGACTCATCGAGTTTTAGCTCAAGTGGAATGTGGGTGCGATTTACTGGTTCGGGTGGTACCACTATACCTACTTATGCACCTGGCCCCTCAGTATGTGGCACCGACGCTACAGGTTGGTACATTACTGAGATGCCAAGTTCTGGCGCTACTGTTAGTGGAGCATTATGCTACCAGTCGACTATCAATAAATGCCACTTTTATAGTGCAATGCAAGTAACAAATTGCAATACATACTATGTTTATTTTTTATATCCGCCGCCTACCTGTAACTTACGCGTTTGCACTGTTTAAGAATTAGAAGACTTTTAGCAGTTTGATTTTTTTTGTCCTTTTCCATTAATGATAACACTCTTATTTTATGCAGCTATATCCTTTTGGGAGTTCACGATTTCGAAAGAATGACTCATACCACATCACCCATGGTTTTTATCTCCTTTCTTTTTAATTACATTTCTACTCTAATCGAGAGAAAATAAATCTTCTGTATTCGATTCACAAAACTTCAATGAAGCATCAATTATTCTAATGAAAGTTAAAAATTCTTGAATAATACTGATACATCCAATATGATTGTGATTTGTGTTATGCCTATACTCAATCATAAATCGAAACGTAGGAAGATGCATAAAACACAAATTTGAAGAAAATCTCATTTTATGAGTCGTGCAAGAAATGTTTGAATAATATATGACCTGTGAATAACTGAATAAGCTGCTGATTGCTTTTTTCGAATGTTTTTACTCATATTAAAAATGGTCATATATCGTTAGTGGATGCATCTTTCGCATACTTCTATAAGTTTCGTGTGAAGAGATGTTTCTCATGAGGACAATAACTCCTATGTTGATTGATTGGCTTAATTACAGGTTGATTAAAGGAGAATTTAACATGATAGTCATCCGCTTAGAAAATCGCTCTGGTAGTAGTGATGCAAGAAACAACATTTAGTATGAATAAGAATATAAGAATAATTCGAAATTTAAAACGAAAAATTGTTTTTTTTAATTTCGACTTAAATTTGTAGTTGTTTATCTAGTTCTTTTATAATAAAATAAATAATGAAATTTCTACTAGAGCTTTCGACTCAATGCAGTGGAGTAATTTTCAATATGGAAGGATATTTGTTTTGATTTGAAATTTTTTTTGTGGGGAATTCTATTTTTTTTTAGAATGAATTGATGGTGTTTCGTATGTGTGGTTGTTGAAGGTTGGTGTGTGCTGGTCAGGGGAAAAGAAAATTTTTGAAATCAGGCTACCTTTTAAGCTGAAATAGAGATGAAACGAGAGCTTGTTATGAACCTGACTTTTGGATTGTGGTATTGAAGAATCGTTTTGTTAGTCTTTGGCTATTATTGAATTAGGTAACTTGATTTTTTGGCACCTTCGGGAAATACATATAGGGGTACTGAAGTGTCAGTTCCATTTAAAATTGGTTTTCTGGAACGAATTTCAATCGATTCTTTGATGAGTAATCGGTATGGCTTTTGGTCTTGTTTTAAAATGTCGATATTTCCGAAATTTATCGAATGATTTGTTGTATATACGTGTTTACTTAACGCTGAGTTTGGTTTATAATAGGATAAGTCGTTGTCATTTTTTTTTGTTTACTGATTGAGATTTCATTTGTTTAGTTATCAGTCGAGTACTTCGACGTAACGGTTGAGTTAAATTTAAGTGTTTCTTTTGTATACGACCATTGAGTATATTTTGATGTTTTTGTTTAGTTTTTTTTGCGGGTTGAGTAAGATATAATGCTTTACTCATGAAAAGTGTGGCTTTAGCAACATCTTTTTTATGTTCATGTAAGCGTCTATATGTTTGGCGTGTTGTTTTACCGATGTATTTCTGATTGCAATCGGAGCAAGATATTTGATATACTACTCCTGATTTTTGATTTACATTCAGATTATCTTTTGTTGGAAAGTATCTTCGAGTTTGATTTTTTGTTTGATAGATTACTCTAAGTTGTGCTGTTGGATCATTTTTTGTATAATTGATTTTAGTCGTTTTGCATATGCATAACTTGGTGCACCAATGTATGGAAGTTGAATATATTTATAATTTATAATTTCGTTTGATGTTTGTTGTATTTGATTTTCTGTGTCTTTTGGTCGATATAATTTGTCCAAATACTTTTTAATTATTTTCTCAACAAAGTCGGAAGGATAACCATTAAAATTGGCCATTAGACGAATTTGTTGAAATTCATCATGTAATGGGCCATATTTTGAACATATGCGAATTGCTCGAGTAACTAAGGAAATTATTGATGACCTTTTATAAGCTGTTGGAATTAGACTGTCCCATTTTAACATTAATTTGGTTGTTGTTTTCTTCCTATATACTGTGGTATCAAAACCACTGTCGTGTCGTTTCACTAATACGTCAAGAAATGGTATGGTGTTATTTGCTTCCGGTTCGGTGGTAAATTTAATACTTGGATGAAATGTGTTCAATAATTGTCGAATTTCATCTTCGCCTGCATCAGCTTTAAAAATTGTGTACGTGTCATCTACATAACGGCGCCACAGGAGTAACTTTGAATCATTGTTGTTTAGTAGCCCAGACAAGTGTTCTTCTTCAAAGTTTGCCATGAATATTTCTGCAAAAATTGCTGGTAATGGTGTCCCCATTGAAACACCATCAGCTTGATCGTAATATTTTTTGTTAAAAAGGAAATGAGTATATTTAGTAGCGAATTCTAATAATTCACAGAAATAATGTTCGGGAATAAAAGGTTTTAGTTTTGGATTGGTACAGTATAATTCATTACATATAATTTCGATGGTTTCATCAACTGGAATATTAGCAAAAAGGCTTTCTATGTCGAAACTAATCATTTTGTTGCTTTTGGAGAAACCTTTGTTTTCTTTTAAGAATTTCAAAAATTCGTTGGTGTTCTTTAATGAATAAGTACTATCACGTATTGGTTTAATAATACCGGCTAGAAATTTGCCAAGACGATAGTTATAGGATTGAATGCATGACACTATTGACCGGAGAGGCACATTGCATACTGAAAAAAAAATATTAAATACAAAACCTAAATGCTCTTTAGAATTGAAACAAAATCGAAATGATTTTCCATTGTCATACAGATCCACAAAACTCGTCGAAAGTTCTGTAAAATACCAAAACAATTTCGTGAGTTTATAGAACTTTGCACGGGTTTCTTAGCGCACGTCAACAGAAAGTGTGTTAGAATTTATTTTTAGTTCTCGAAACCTTTTTAGGTTTATTATGGTACCTTTCTCATTTTCAATGGTGATCTTATGAACTTTTGGTAAACCATATAATCTTGCTGGAATGGAATTCACCGGTTTAATGTATCGATATTGATTTTCTGTCAAATATTCTTCATTTTTCATTTGTCTTAAAAGAGCTGTTAACGCATTTTCACGAGAGCTAGTAGGATCTTTATCTAATAATTTGAATTTTGTACTATCACTTAAAATTTGTTCTAATTTTTGAATGTAATCATTACGGTTAAGTATCACCACACCTCTACCTTTATCAGGTTTAGTTATTAAAATAGATGGATCTTTAGATAAATTTAACAATAGTTGTTGATTATTATGTTGATTCATAATTTTATTTTGTTTTGTCTTAATAGACATGTGAGCTTGATTGAAAAAATTTTCTGTTGCATTTTTTAAATCTGCAGCAAGTGATAGTTGTTTTGGTTCTAAAGTTCTAATTTCTTTGTTTGAAATATTATCAGGATTTTCGTCCCATTTCTTAAAATCAGTTGATTCTTTTTGGACGGTAGAAGAATTATGGAATAAGTATTCGATATTAGCAATTACTTCAGAACGATTGATTGCACTGGGACGATTGTATGATATTCCTTTTTCTAATTCACGAATTTCTTCTTTAGTAAGATCACGATTTGATAAATTCCAAATTAATTTAGGTTCAGTTTCTTTTTCTTTTTCATTATCAATATTTATCAACTTATTCATTAATTTGGTATTTAATAAGAGACGTTCATTTTCTCTTCTTTGCTGTTGCTGATTTCGAAAAAACATCAAGTTGTTAAATTTTCTGCAATGCGTCCGATATTTAACTCTATCAGTTTTAAATTGGATTTCATCTAGAATTTGGTTGATTTTCGTCATTACGGCATGTGGGAAAATATTCACTAATTCATTATATAAGTTTTCTTTTATCATAGATGTGTATTTGATATTATTCTTTTTTAAATGAATTTCTTCTTTCAAAAGAATATTCTGGCATTTCTTATATGATCTTGTGTAAACTAATTCACGATTTGCAAGTTTAAATTGAAGAAATTTAGGCATCAGATTGTTCGATTTACATTGATATAGATATTTTAAATCACTGAAAAGACAAGCCAACTTAATGGTTTTATTTTCATACGATTGATACAATTTATAACAATTATAACCATAACTTTCCTTTATGAATTTAAATCTTGTTTTAGTAGATAATGGTAGAACATTCAGCGTAAACGTGTTTAATCGATTATTGGTAGTTTCAGAATTCATAGTGGTTAATGGCGTAGTGCTATAGAAAAAGTAGAAATAATGTTTGAAACATACTTTTGAAATCAACATACAATTAGACTCAATAAACAAATAAATAATATATCGAAGAAAGACTACACTGTAAAAAAAATTCGTAGAATAAGAAACCCTAGTACATTCGGAAAATTTTCCTAAACCCTTAAAGGGTTTAGGAGAACCGCATAAACCCTTTAAGGGTTTTTGAGAAAAAAGGGTATTTTAA